GTGTGTGAGAGTGTGAGTGTGTGTGTGTGTGTGTGTGTGTGAGAGTGTGAGTGTGTGAGACGTTCACTGACACTGTATCCTGTTGTGTTGCCCTCGGGATGGGAGTTTTTTTGGAAAACGTGCGCGCGGTGTTGTTCGTGTGTCCCTCTGTTGCCATGGTTACGGAGCCAGGTATCAGGTAATAATTAACATAAAGGGAACTGTGTCTAACTGTAATTGTAAAACTTTGTTGTGAATGACAATAAAAGGTCCCTGAAGCCTTGAATTTCAAAATAAAATACAAAAGTAGGAACTAGATCAAATAGATTAGAAAGGCAGGCAAACAAATAAAATCGAGTATGAGGATCATATTTAAGAATAAAGATTGGGATATTTAGTTTTTCTGATATTGTGTTGACTCTTATGTGTAAACTTCCAACTGTTATACAGCATTGTTTTAAAATGTGTTAAGTTCGAGTTCATTTGCACAATAATGTAAAAGTACATACATTAAAACAGTAAATTACAATGCAGATGAGCCTGTTTGGGCAAAGTAAAATAGTATAAAAAGTTCATTATTATTATTATTATTATTCAAAGACAATAAAACAAAATAAAAACAACAAAGCAAGCACAAACAATCTCAATATATATTATTTAAAAACAAACACCAAATCTAAACCGCGTTAATGAGACTGAGAGTCTTTAGATGGATCAGTTTATTAATCGACTGATAGAAACTGTTGCAGTTTAACTAATTAATTCATCTTTTAGTCTTTTATGGAGCCAAAATGTCAAATATTCTGTGATTGCAGCTTTTTAAATCTGAGGATTTACTGCATTTTGCAGTTTTAAATGATTGTAGAAGTGAAAATCTTTTAGGTTTGATCAGGCAATCAGATAAAACAAGACGTCTGAAGAGCTTTGGATTCAAACTTTATGTAGCTTCATTAAGTAAATTTACGTTAGTTGTTTACAACCAGCGGTCGCGTTATGTACAGATCTTTATCCACAACAAACACACTCCTCACACACTGTAACAGATGCTGTTTAGTGGCATTTAACTGACTTTAATTATCCATTAATCTGCTGCTTATTTTAATGCTAAACAGATTAATTTAGTCTATAAAATTGTGAAAAACGTCTTATTTTGTCCAAAACTCTTCTTCACTCTCATGAATGACAAAGAAAAACAGCAAATCCTCACATTGAAGAAGCTGGAACCAGAAAATATTTCACGCTTTTGCTAATCAAATTAAATTAAAGCTGCAACTTTTATAAAGAATATTTTTAGTCATATTTGCTGAAACCTTCACTATATCCTGACAGTAGAACATGAGACAGATAATCTGTGAACACGTCAGGTTCCTCTGGCTCTTCCTAGTGCCCCTAATTACATTTACAAGAATCTACCGGGCCCAAACGACAACAACCAATCAGAGCTGAGAAAGAAAGACAGATTGTTAAGTCTCATTCCCAGGGAGTCAAATACAGACTCTTTGGGACTCTGAGAATGAGACGGAACAATCAACTATTTTCAAGCCTCCAACCCAAATCGATTTTATATCTTTCTCGGCTCTGATTGGTGGTTTTCATTCGGGCCCGGTTGTAAATCCCATTAGGAGCACTAGAACGAGCCAGAGGAACCAGATTTTTTCACACATTATCCGTCTCATGTTCTACTGTCAGGATAGAGTGAAAGTTTCAGCAAATATGACAAAAACGTATTTTTATAAAGTTACCTACTGAAGCTTTAATTAACGCTGTGATCTTCAGGCTCGGTACCGGCAGCTGTTGCTGCAGGAATGCGTCGCTGTGGTGGTGAAACAGTCTCTCCGCCCAGCGACAGCAGAACAACACTCAGACCTGTTTTGGGTGTCTGATGGCAGACTGATCCTCGGCCACACCTCAAGGGAAACAATGAAACATGTCTGTGATTTCTAACAAACACTTTGGATTCACACTGAACAAACATCAACAACAACAACTCCTCGTGTTCAGGGCTTCGTCCCACACCACGGTCACAAATGTTTGTTTCTCTTCATCACTTAAATAACTAAAATGATTGAACCAGTAGAAGTGAAGTTGTTTCTAATGCACTTATTAACTGTGGTTGAATTGAGCTCAATAAATTAAATACTGATATTCTATTAACTGCTTTTCTCTCTTTTATATTGTGTAAACAGCATATCTCGTTTGGACAAAAACAGGTTATTTGGAGTCTATTTATATACATATTCGAATGACAATCAGCAATGGTTGATGCGCTCACTTGCAAAGTGTTTTTTTGCCACAGCAGTTTGGTATGCAGCAAAGAACTTGTCGGTCTTGATCACAGTATAGTTATTCATATCCCTGAATTATACTATATTTAGAACATAAATATTAAGTGATTGTTTGAAAGATGAACAAAGACTGTTTTGGTGAGTTTTATTTTATCTGTGAGGTAAAATTACTGGTTTTCTCTATGGAGTCTGGTTGGCTATAGCGCCCACATGTTGTTCTGAGATTCTGGCGCTCTAGTGTGACATCTAGTGGCAGCAAACTTTCTTGAACGCGTAACTTCAAATAATTTGTGCAGTTCTTGTAATATTTAATTTCATTATCAGCCTGTTTCGTAGTCACATTCATGAATGTAGCGTGCATATTTAATCCGTGATTAGTTAGGAGCTAAAATGTGATGGTTAGATACAGGGCGGAGGTCAGATGAACAGTTCAAAAACACTGCAATAGTGGAGTATAGGACCCCTTTTCCACCAAACTAGCTCTGATGTTTGAACCAGTTCAGTTCAGCATTTAACAATAAATAATCTACTCATTATAAACCTGCTTCCTGTGTCTGTAGCTGATTCGGGTCGGACTACGCTGCTGTAATGTAACATCGGTCATAATGGTGGTACTGGGAGATCCTGGACTCTGGGTGGAGGGCTCCAGTGTCACTGAGGTCTCACTGCTTCCACACTGAAACTGTGTCACATATCATATACCTGCAGCTACAGTTTCACTACCGCGACCCGATCTGAGCTGGATGTTTACAGTCACCTGAGATCTGATCCGTTTGACCCCATTCCCACCTGAAACTATGAGAACGTTAAAAGTTGTTATTGTTTCACACTCATTTGTTCTTTTGAAATCAGCAGAGTTCCCAACATGTCCTGGAAAACCTGGAAATATAGAGACTAGTTTTCTAGTCATGGAAATTGATTAAAATGATGAAAAATCCTGGAAATAATCTGTGTTGACCTGGAAATTTTAATTGTATTCTATCCTGTGCTGTGGCAAAATAAATGCTACAGTTAGAGGAAAGCTGTAGTCAACAGACCTTTTTCACAGCAGCCATTTTTACATGAAATATTCAGATAAAAACAGGTGTTACTGATGATATTAATTGATGTTTCATTCAGGTCAAACAGAGTCAAGGAGCATGTTGGCCAACTGGAAAGGCTTTGCTACACTAAATGGAACAGAACACCTGTTTTTACCCAACTATTTCATGTGAGGAAGAGGAAGGAGAGCTGAGTGAAGCTGAAAGCAGAAGAAGGAGTTAAAGAGAGAGAGCAGCAGGTTCTGGGTTGATAAGAGTTTTTTGGAGGCGTTCATGTGTTTTATTAGTGTTGCAGTGGCTGCTGGGCTTCATTATGACTCAGATTACCTTCATTATGTCCCCAGGCTCCGCCCTCCCTCCCTGTGGTCGGCGCTGACTCTTCGCTGGCTAACATCTGCGGGCTAATGTCCCCTCTGACGGCCATAACAACACATAATGTTATTACACCATTAAATAGCCTGCTTCCTTCAGCTTTATGGCTGCTGTTACCTGCAGCACATCAGTCCTCTGCAACACAAAGACTCTCAGTGAGCCGGCTTCCACTGCAGGACCAGACCGGGCCAGAACCATTGATCTACCACGGCCTGTTGTCCTGAAACCCCAATAGGCCCGAAAAATGTCCCATTGGACCGAAAGTCCATTTGTCTGACAGCCCGTTATTCCATAAATACAGACTCAAAGTGGAATGTTTTTCTAAACCTAACCAAAACGCAAAGACTGCCTATACCAACGCTAACCACATGTTTATTATCATTAGCATGACAACAAAGGTATAAATTATAAGTCCGCAAATGTCTTCGAATTATCGACACCCTCCACAACAAATAGTCCAACATCAAGTCCAAGCTAACATTACTGCAAAGCTTGTAAAATACATAGTTAATTGGCTAATGTAGCAAGATACTGTCAGCGGGACAGCCGGCACCAGATAACGTTTGCTTCCCCAGCTAGCATGATCCTAACTTATGTATTCGTTTCGGAGCGGAAACAGAAGATCATTCGCAAATTAAATGTTCGTTACCTCTCAACTTATTTGGGAAAAGTGTTCATCTCCTATTTAAGGGCATAAACTCCTTTTCAAAAAGGCAAAACAACCTTAAATAAACAGAAATTGTAGATATTTTTGAATTTTGTCATTTGAATCAAACTATTTTTGGGGGCTTTAATTGTTGGTGACAGCTGAGTGACAGGAAAGGTCCACAGGTCGGACCCGAACCCACAGTCACCAATACATCGGTGCCAGCTCCACCAGGCGAATCAAACTTTTCTGATGCAGTACTTCAAAATGTTTATAGAAATACATTAATGGATCCATCATCCTGAGGTTTTGCTGTTCAGACTGAATCTCTTTATCAGAGTCGGAACTATGTCGTCACTTTTCCTCCACTCTCTGGTTTTAAGTTGGCGTCCTCCTCTTCCTCTCCGTGATCCTCTCTGCTTATCCCGAACTCAGACACTTTCCTTTCAGTGCGTATAAATCACTGCACTTCGCCGCCTCGTGACGCCACTTCCAGATTAGTTAGTTTAACATTCAAATCTCTGGGAGAAACGGCGACGTATTTGGGTCACGAGATTAAGATCTGCTCAGTAAAAAAAGGCTCGTCTGACACCATTAGAAATTTTAAAGTCCCGTTCAGCCTGAAACCAAATTTGACATAATCGCTGAGCTTGGAATTATAAAGTCATATCTGTCCGATTTGCTCTTATAAACCAAAACTGAGAAATGTTAAGACTGCTGTTTTTGTGCCGTTGTGGTGTTTAAAGGAAGAATTTAAGGTTTTTAAACATTTTGGGAACTGCGTCTGAGTAAAGTTAACAACTTATTGGTCTGTACTGAGAGCTTCCCCCAGGACAAATATGATTATTGTGATTTATAAAGTGCTGTTCGTGCTCCATTAAAGGTGGAAATCAACACATCATCGCCTCATTAATTTTTAAGAAAGGACCATAATAACTGTGAACAAATCAGCCTCTAGTGGCCTCGGTGTTGTTTGACGCTGTGATTTGGAGGAAAATAAAGAAAACAAAAGCATCTGGCACCTTTTTTTTTTATTGATTAAGGGCTGAAGAAGAGCCACTTGTTGTCACTTCTTCATTAAAACTGACATTGTGTTCATGTTGGTTGTTTCCTGTTCGGGGCCGGTGGTAATCTGCATCTGAACCTATAATGTGTCTGTAAAGTCAGAAAATGGTCATATTGAACGTATCAATAAAATGTTTTTCAACTGGACTCTTTCCACAATATATAGCAGCAGGAAGTGATTAGTTTTACATAAACTTACTTCCTGTTTGGGGCACAGAATTTCCTGTTTCTTGGCGAAAAGTTGACATTCGACGCCACGACAAGACGTAAAGTGAAGACTTAATGAAATAATTATTATTATTAGACTGTAAATTGGCTGTATGTTAACATTAATGACTGGATGTAAACAGTGATGATTAACTTATAGCTATATAGCTTATACAGATCAATATATGATCACTTCCTGGACAGATTTCCCAATCAGCAGATGGATTTATTGGTAGTTTAGCTTTTAATAATGGTGTAACTACCAGTTGGTAGAGTTCAACAGACAAACATTCAGCAGAAGAGTAAAAAATTAGATATACACATTTAGTTTGATAATATGAAAAGTGAAAAGTATTGTGTTATTGGTTTGTATCAACTCCAAATTAACATTAAAGGCATGAAAACAGAGAATAAAGCTGGAGTCTCACAAGTGTCCCGAAGTGTTCTCCGGTTATTTTGGGCCCACGTTGGAGGAAACAGACTCACATTTCACCGAAACAGCTTTCTACTGTTTCACACACAGTAGAACTGGAGTTTGAGTTGAACTCTGGCTCATGTTACGGTTTCTTTTATCCACTTCCAGACTGTATTAACTTCCTTTAGCCTTTAACATCTCAGGACAAATGTATGTGGCTGTGAATATATTCTGGCTGTCAAAGGGTTTAACTTCAGATTTGTGCATCGGTGTATTTTTTATGAAATTTAAAATACGCATAAAAAAGTTGATGGAAAATGCTAAATGGCCTCAATTAGTTTTTTTTGTTTCCACATATTTATGTTTTTCCTGTAAAAACAGTTAGCTAGGAAGGGACCAGACCGAGACCGACTACAGCATCTGATGTTGACAGGAAATAAAGTACTGAGGTGGTTTTTATTGCTGGTTTTGGGTCCTGACACCCCAGAGCTGAGTCAGCTAATGTTATCAGCTGAATGTCAGGATATTATTGGTTGTGAAATCAGTTAGTTCATGCTGATGTAAGCACGCGTCACATTTTAGTTTTACAGGAAGACACAATGATATAAAAATACAAAGAAATTGATTTTTTTTTTTTTTTTTTTCTTTTTTACATTTTAGCATAAATTGTTAAATATTGAAACAATATAACACCATAACATCTGAACTTTAAAGAAGTTGGATGAATCTCCAGTGAACGGAGGATCGGTTTAAATTTATCCGAGTTTTTGTAACATAATTTAGCATAAATTGTGAAATATGGGAACATTATAACTGAGGATGTGATCTTAAAGGGTTAAAGTGACATTTTTATATCACCTTTCAGAATAAGTTGATTGTGATTTTTAAGTCACATGACTGATTGTCCCCGCTCTTTTAATTACGCCATCTTGTGGCAGCCTGCGGAGTTACAGGAACTAAACTCAGAAAAACGTTCTTGCTTGTTTGTATTTCTTTAAAGCGTCACAATGGCGTTGCTATAGAATATCTCTAACCGGTATAATATAATACATATTGAGTCTCTGTTCCCCCTCTGGCTCTTTGTCAGTTATATTCGGGATGATTTGTAAGCTATCTCACCGTCTCCATTTCCTCCATCACCCCCCAAAACTTCTCTACGTAATTACATAGTTAAGATCGGGTATCACCCCGTCGTCTTTCTGTCTCTCTCTCTGTGTGTCTGTCTCTCTCTGAGGAGGACAGAAAGGCTGTTTGTTCCCTGCCTGCCTCCTTTTGTCCAGATGAGACAATGGACTGACTCTGGGGGCAGGAAGGAGGAGGAGGAGATAGTGAAAGGAGCAGGACAAGGACAGACAAAGAGAAGAGATTTGGGGAAAATGTGAAAGTTTTTCTCCAAAGTTGGGTTAGGGTTAGGTCTGTAGCTAAGTTAAGCTGGTGGTTGTCTGACTGGCAGTGTGGTTTCTAGTGTTGGAGCTACAGACTGTAGCTAACTGCAGTTCACTAAACGGCCACTGGTGTCGCTATTGTCCGTGTTTTTCTTAAAGTTACATATAGAAGCTTTAAATATTATGTTGGGATTAGCAAAGGAGGGATTTTAGCATTAATATAAACTTAAACAATCAGCTGGAAGTCAGGAGAACAGTTTAATTCAGTTTTTTGTTAATAAACTGCACATTGTGGTGGCCAACAGGACCTCAGAACTGGTTCATTTTGAGGCCGGTTGACCTCGGATGCTGCAGGCGGTGACGTACTAAAGGTAACTGTTACTGTACCACAGGATGTGTCAGGGAGGAGGAAGAGGAGGAGGAAGAGGAGGAGAGTCTGTGACAGCGGAGGAGACAGAGGAGCAACCAACCTTATGTTGCTGCACAGCGACACACACAGCTGCTCTCTCTGTTTATACAGAGTCCTCACAAGGTTGGAAAAGACGAGAGGACGCAGGGAGAGTTTAGTTTTGTGGTCAGGATTAGGTTTAAATTGGAGTGGGATTAAACGTAAATTCACTTTCATTACAGCCTCAAGGGCAATGCACATGCATCACATCCTTTTTTCATTTCAGTAAAAGTAACATCGACTCTGCTTGTTGTTGTTTTCCTGACGAGCTTTTGGTTTGACTTCCTGGTTTCACTGTGCGCGTGCAGAGCGACATTAGGCAGAATTAATGAATAAAAAAACATTATTTCACTTTAAATGTTCCTCAGTTTCTGTCATATATTAAATGCTACAGGTGTTGACATTATATGAGGCCAAAGGTAATAAGAATGAGGTTAAAGTGAGGGGAAAAAACTACTTTACACTCTTATATGACATTTTTTATACGTTTATACAGATTAGCCAAAATGTTAATCGGACTGTAACCACACACACACGAAAGAGAGAGTCTTCACCGTTAGTGGACATGGCAGCCATTTGTTCCTTTAACTCTGAATTAATCATTTATTTCTACCAAATGAGAGTTGGTGATGTTTGGAAAGACTAACAAAGACAGTTTTGGTGAGTTTTATGAAGTTATAATGATACGATGACATGCAAGGTAAAATGAGCATTTTTGTCTCTGGAGTCTGGTGGAGAGTGATAGTGATATTACAGCTGTTTCTGGTTAAACAAAAGATCTATCTCTGTACGGATCCTTGCCATAATGTTTTCAGGCA